GGCACAACTTCCTGGGCAAAGGGGACCGGAAGGCTTGGTGAGAGCTGCTTGCTGTGTTGTGAGCTTTTAGGACAAGCACTGTCACAGAAGGGACACATGTGGCTGATGAGCCAGTGTGTGTGTGAGCCCCCTCCACTGATTCCTTCCTAATCAGCAGGGAAAACATGAGGAAAGCTGTCAGTGCACACCTCAGCCTTTGCCTGCCCAGGTAGGGTATGGTAGAACATGGGGCGCATTCTACATGGGCTGGTCCATTTCTCCACATTTTTCTACTTTCATAATAAAATCTTGGAATCAATAAATGTGAACTCTTCAAATTTATTATTATTTATTACCATCAAGATTACCTAAGGAAAAAAATATCATTCTTTTGAGAATTGCTTGCTGATATTTTTAATGGCATGACACTGAATCTGTTGCTCTAGTTTGACAGGCTGGATATCTGAACAATACTGTACCTATTGATCATTAACAGGACACGACCTCTATTGATGTACATTTGGTATCATTTATTATAACAGTTTTCATAGTTCAGCACATCAATTTTTTCTGTATTTTTGGAGCTTATTCTGGAGAATATTTTTGCTGCCATTTTACTTATTTGATGTTCTGGTTTCCCCCATGATAAATTGTTTTTACTTCAGATGCCATTCCTTTGTAGCTGGCATGTAGAACAATATCTTAGGGCACACACAGACTGTGGAATTTGACTTCCAGTTCTCTCCATCACTCCTCATCATTACATAGGAAAATAGGCAGGACTTATGCCTGGATTTTATTTTTTAGAACAAAATAATCTGCACACTAAATTTTATCAATTTATTAGAGCACCTGGGACTAATGTGTCTGTCCTTTTCCTATGTACAAACTCTTCTAGTCTGGACTCAAATCCTCAGTGCCAGCAGGGACATGCATGCGAATTAGAATTTTGTACATGGCGGGTACAAGTGAGTGCCGCACCCACTGAAGGCATGGCAGGCAGACCAAGGACAAGAGCTTCGTCTCCTCAAGCTGCAGCAGAAGAGGCCCCAGTGTATTTTCTCTGCAACTTGGGAGTGTGTGGCTGGGAAGGGAACAGTCATTGTCTTCAGTGTATTGGCCAAAAAGGGACCTCACCCCGGGCTTTCTTCCAGTTGATGTTCCAGGGAGTGCAGAAGAGATATTGGAATCACACATTCTCCTCTGTTGTGCTATATGTGTAGTGCTATATATGCTATATGCTATCATATTGGAGAACGTATAATTTTACAAAAGTAGTCAATTACTGAGTGACTTCCTGGGCTGGTGTCATGGCATAGAGCAGCACAGTTATAAATTTAGTGCTTCAGCATGCTTTGTGAGGCACAAAGACTGAGTACAATGTTTTGTGTACATTCAGGACATACTCTCCATTTAAATAATGGTTCAGCCATTTAAAACACACAGGCTGTGGAGATAGCTCAGTGGTCTAAGCGCCTGCCCAGCTGACAGAAGGATCTGTGTGTAGGGCCGGGGAGATGCCTCAGTGGAATAAGCACCTCCCTCACAAGCGCAAGGGTCTGAGTTCAATCCCTGGTTCTGAAAAAGAAAAAAAAGAGGATCTCTGTTTGATCCTTGGTACCACATGCTGCACAGGCCTTGGAACCCCAGCAGCACTGTGCTTGTGAATGAGACTGGCATGGTAGCACGTGCCTATAATTCCAGGACTGGATAGTCTGGGACAGGAGGGTCAGTATGAGTCTGAGCTGTGTAGCAAGACCTTGTGTCAAGTAACTAAAGAAATAAAATATTAAGAACAAAAACTTATCATGAGCCAAAGTCTTATATAGTGTTTACCTATTAGAATCACACAGCTGCATTGGATCAGGCTCTGTCCTAACCACTATTTGTTAATTTCTAAAGATACACTGTTTAGGTAGACCATGTTCATAAGTATCAGAGCTGTGACTTCATCATATCATCACTTGAAATGCAGTTCAGCCCATGTTGTTGTCCGATGCACATTAGAACAGAAGGCTTTTTGAGTTTGGAAAGTCCTGCTATCATGTAGAGAACTTGTCTGTACTCTCAAATACATTTGTGTCTCTATTGGGTACAATTGAATGTGCACATGTTAGTGGACTTAAAAATCTTTCACTTAAGAATATCTTTATACAATTTATTAAACTGGGGTCTGGCAAGATAGCTTGAGGACAAAAGTGCCTGCCTAGGTAAGATTAGATAAAAGCATGGAACGTGGTTCAATCCTGGGCACCACATGTTGTGCCAGTCCTGCCCCTCAGGCACACTGAGCCAGCCACCAAGTCCCCATGTGCTGTTTCATGCCCATAATCCCAGAGTTAGGGAGGCTAAGACAGCAGGATCTCTATGAGTCCAAGCTTCATAGCTAGACCATGTAATAACCAAATACATTAAAAAATTACTAAACCAAAGAGATTCAACACATTGCTCTGTGATAAAGTTTATTAAAAATTAGAAAAATCTTAGTGTGTTTAATATATTTGAAACTCTTGAAGATTTTTGGATTTACACTCAATTTATATATTTTTCATTTCCTTTTTTTTTTTTCAGAGCTTGGGATTGAACCCAGGCCCTTGTGCTTGCCAGGGAAGCAACTTATTCTACTGAGCCATCTCACCGACCCCTAAGCCAACTTAACTTTGACCAGCTACTTTTCCAATGCTAATGAGGGCATCAGGCCTATATCTTTGAAACTAGAGAAAATTATCTTTTCTCACAATGTATATAGTTTAATTTTTAAACTTTATTTGTACAGAAAACAATGCTTCTTTTCATGTTTAATAGATTGCATCTTACTAACATGTCACAATTTATAAGTGAAAAATGATTCCTATAAATAAGTGAAGAATAAGTCCATATTGAGTCTCACTCTGCTGGTTATCTAGACCTTGATAAATACAGGATGGCATGCATTGAACTATTGCTGCATTATTTAGAATAATCACCCTGTGCTGATACTCAGAGGTGTAAACTTTGCCTGTACTTCTGTGCTCTTTGATATTATGAGTGATTGAAAAATATAGATGCGATTTTCACTTTGCTTCTCTGCTTCCGGGTGAAGGCAAAAGAGAAATAGTCTACACAGGCCCATGTCCTCACAAAAGCATAAATCCTGTATGTGCTCAAGCATGTAGGAGAAGAAATGGATTCTGACAGCATATTACATCATGGAATGAAGATGTATAAAAGAATGAAGCAGCATGGAAGTAGGCTACGTTATACAACTCAAAATACTTGGTGTTTCTGCACTCTTGTTAGTCACTAATTTGGGCTTCATGCCTGTGGGGCAATTACGTGCACCCCAAGCAGCAGAGAGCAGGTGTGGCTGTGAGGTTCACTTACTGTGACTGGTATAGAGACAACACAGCTGTGCAGACAATGTCCTGTGGGCCTGTCAGGTGACAATTCCTGATTGTACTTGGAAGACACAATGTCCAATATTTTTTAGTGACCTTGAGGGTTTCCTGACTATTTCCAGAGAAGCTTAACAGCAAATCCTCCAGTGTAATCTACTAGGAGCACATCTAATGGAATCTGTAATAGTGGCTCACTTAGGAGCAAATGTGCCCAGGAGGAGGGGTCACTCGGGTATTGCCATCAGTGGAACTGGATTACGTCATGGTGGCTCGAGGTACAGAAAATGATATGCAAGCACGATTTCTGTCTTGAGTTTTTCTCCTGGTCACCAGACCTCAGATGTAGATCCCAGGGTGACAATGGTGGGGAACTTCTCCAGGGAAATGGAGCAGGCAATTTTGACAGCAGCTGGGGCATCGGATTGTCCACCTGAGTCTCAAAAAATGTCATGCTGAAACACACACAGCATATTTATTTACCTGGCTCAGACTGTGATTTTCCTCTTCACTCAGCCCTCGGTTTTCATGCATATCTAGGATGTTGCCTTTGATTGCTATCTTCCTTCTCCTGCAACTTTCTGCCTCAGTGAGCACTATCGATAATGAAGACTGCATTTCCCGAAGAAGCACCAGTGTACGCAAGGATGGAGACATGGTGATTGGGTGTTTCTTGTATCTTTATTTTTATATCTACTACACTGGTATGATTGATATACAGCCTACTGGAGAATTCCACTTCATTCAGTAAGTGTCTTCTTCATTTGTTTGTTAACTTTCTGGATATTAAGATAGGTAATGCCTAGAGATCCATGCATGTATGAATCAATATTTTCTGTAGTGTTACCTGTTCTGTCCACCCTTATGTATACGATGGGTATAAAATTTGGACTCTTTTTATACATTGGAATGTGGGAAGAGAATATTCTTTTTATTTGCTTGCAGTCTTAGCTTCTTGTTTTCACTCTTAGAGTCTGAGAGAGAACCTACCCACTCATGCTCTGTGGTCCATGCCCTTTCTCAGACCTGGATGCCACTGCATGGAATTTGGTGACACTCTTTTTCATGACTGAGTCACTTAGTTTGAACTGAATGTTAAGTGGCTGCTGCCAAATATACTCTAATGCAGTAAGGGATTTGCTGAAGTTGCTATCATTCTCTAAGTATGACATTCCTTGTATTCTTACATCTTCTCTTCTGATATTTCTGCCCTTTCTGTTAGGAATAATTTGTTCCTGTAAATATTTAGTTGCTATTTCAAATAAACTTTAGGGTGCTCAGAGCTCCTGTCTCTGCAAGCTGAGCCAGAACAAGAAATGAAAAATCATCTGAGACACTTTTCCCACCCATGTGATTCTTCCTTAGTTGAATGTGTGTATCTTTTCTATATTCAGATTCTACTGTACCAGGTCTGACAAAAACATAGTTTAAAAAAATGAATGTTCCTAATGGTCAGAGAATTTCAGTGAATTATTTGTGCTTTTAGAACAAAAGGAGATGTCAGAGGAACATATCAAGTCTTACAGAGGATGCTGATCCACCGTGGTCTGGTAGCTGCTGCCCCTCAAAAGAGTTAAAACTAAATACAGAAATTTTTCCCTTGGTCCTAGCACAGTAGCATGGCATTGTTTTGAATATACACGTATGATTTTGATGAGAATTCTAATATGAGAGAAACTCACTGTCAGGTTGGCCAGCTTCCATGGAATTTATTTCTTGCCTGTCTAGAAGATACAGGTGTTTGATACTTCAAGTACCTGGCAAGGTCTAGAGTTCTACAGTCTTCTTGCTTCAGGTCACACACAAAGTTGGGACACTGCCCCTTTTGTGTTAACTAGAATTTTTTTTCTTTTCTTAAAATATTTTTATTGAGAAACAAATATCAATGAGACAGTTTCAAATCTGATTAGTAGAACAGTTTCAATAATTAATACATTGCATATTGTTGTCTTAGTAGCTATTCATTGTACAAGATACAGACATGATATCTTGTGTACAAACTATATTAGAATAAATATCTCTATTTATTGAATTAGGAGAATATAGCTGCATATTTATCCAACTATTTTGAATATACAGATACAAAATGGTCATTCATTTGTGTCCCCTATTTGGTTTAGTTTTGTCAGAGAAGGGTATGCCATTGTCACTTAATATTATAAGTGCATGAATTCAGCAAAATATTCCCATATAGTCTAGTAGTCCAAAATAGTAGTGGGTTTTCTGTAAGATTGGCAATGTCAGAAGTTGTTGACTTGAGCCTTTTGCAGTTCAGTATATTAATTTTGCTTTACTTTTTATACTTTTTTTTGTACTCTTCTGCTGAATGGTTAAAACCAAGATAAAACAAGACCTATACAACAAGAAATACAACTTATATATTTGACAAGGTCAGTCAGATCCCCTCAGCATTTACCCTGAATCCTGTACTGCAGTTTGTAGATCCTTTGTCAATGTCAGCCATGTGAATGAGTCATGGCCATTGCTTGACCAATTTGCTCTCTGTAAAAGCCTGAGAGAATGTTTTCTCTCCATGTGACTCTCCTTAGGTACACTCTACATCATCAATCACTTTCCTCTGTGGCCCCATATTCTCCTTGATCAGAAAATTTGGGCACAACTGAGTTACAGGATGTTGCAGCACAGGTTCTCCCATGTTCTGAGTCTTCACTGACCTTGAAAGGCCAGGACCAAAATGTTGGCTGTTCTTCAGCCCTCCTTTTTCTCTAATTTTTGGTCTGCAAACTTAGTTGTCAACCACCAAAAGAGAAGCTTATTGTTATTACCCTACAACCTAGGCAGTTGAGCTAATATCACTGTCTGTCTGAATATCAAACATCTTTGTGATGACATGGAACAGGTATTTTTCATCAAGTATTGATATGTTACACTTTAAGTCCCTACAGAACATGAAGAAAAAAATTAGAAAATTAAAATATATTTAAAAAAAATATTAATGAACAATTACATATTTTTACACAGATGTTTAGAAATCTGACCATACACAGCATTGTAGCAGGACAGTCACACAACACCCTTTTCCTTTCTCCTGCCCTCATTCACTACCCCCTTCTTTTTTAAACAAACATACCCCATGCTTGTAGTGCCTGTCATTCTGGTCTTCTGATTATGTGCTGCTTGTCATGACACGCCAGTGTTAACTGGAACTTAAGGGCATTCCCTGGCAGGAAGATTTTAGGATCCCACCCATAGAGAGGACACTGTGCCTGGATATTTCCCAGTCAGTGCCATAAAAATGACATGAAGAGGCTACTCGGAACTGGAATTGGAATTTCAGGTATGGAATCTCTTCCAACCTCGTGATGTAAATTTTTCTGTGCTTTCCTTTTCTGTGTAATTATTTGTGTGTTGGCTAACAGTTCAATAAACTTTGTTTTATTGTTTTCACCTTTCTGATAGAGGATTTTGTTATTTGTGAATTCAGGCACCTATATTACACAACTCTGACTGTGGTTTCTTTAATGCACCATATTTGGGAGCAAGGCCAGCAGGGTAAAATCCAGGGCCTTTCACTTCTGTAGAAGGGGTCTGTATCTTTCTCATAACTTTGTATTTCCATGTTGGCCATTAAACTCAGGATCTTGCACTTACCAGGCAGTCATTTAATCCACTGAGTTACCTTCCCAGCCCCACACGCCTTATAATATCCAGATATTTCCTTGTATTTTAATTCCTGAAAAGTTTGCTATGTTCACATAGTATTTAAGACAGGAACTTCTTGTGCTGACTATGCTACCAGCAAATATCTGGGCTCAAGAATTTCTTCTGGTTCAGCTTCTTGAGCATCTGGCATTATTGGTCATTGTACCCTGAATATGTGTTTTTCTTACATCATTTTTGAAAATTTGTGTTCCCATAGATAGGAATAGTATGCAAATTATAATTCTGATACCTGCCACTGAATATTTCTTCTTAGTGATACATCAGAATAATTTTAGTGTTTAACTTATAACAATCTCCTGGAAATCCCCTAAGGCCTGAGAGAGTATTAGTAACTCCTGTCACTTATGGAAAATTATGAGAAGGATTTTGTTTGATCAGGACATGAATCGCAGTATAGAATGCACTGAAATGTGGTTTGTATGAGGAGGGGAGATTCTGAATGGAGAATGGGCCAGTGTGCATTTAGACCTCACGAGCACCATGGAGGAGGATCATGAGGGAGTCTGGCTAATTGCTCCTGAGTGGACCCTAACTAAAGAGAGTCCAGTGAGATCAGAAGACATCTTAGTATAGTGGGTATGATCAGGTATCAGTTGTTCTCAGATTTCAAGACTAGCTCACATATGTACGATCTGTTTCTATTCCTAGGAAGAGAGGATGAACTACCTACTTTTTTGTTGTCCTCTGCTGTTCCCACATATGCACAGAGTATTGGGCTGCTTTTGCAGGCGGCCCTGCTCTAGGCCCACACACTGTGAGCTCTGTCTGTAACTGGAAAGAACGCAAGTGCAGGTCTGAGTTTTTGTGCCCAGGCTGATGCAGGCACCAGGAACATGAGTTTGGGTATCAGGAGAGAATTCATATTCCTGCTAAAATGAGACGGAATGAAATTTGGGGAAATAAAAATGTTTATAAGTAATCCATATATTTCAGATCGACTTTATATTGAAGAGTCTGATTTTAGTATTTTAAAGAATAAATTTTTCAGATATGCACACACAGTGGACATTTGATTTATTCTTTAGCTTTGGTAGCACTGTGGCTTTTCTGCTCGTAATAGTAAACAGAGTCAAAGTAGCATTGTTCTGTCTCTGTATTTATCATTGTCTTTTCCTTACATAGTATTATAAATCTTCAGAATAATTATTATTACTGCATAACATATCCTTTATACATATCATAATTTAATTCTCATTCATTTTTGGATGTTCCAAAATTTGTAATTAATGCCTTCTGTCATTTAAAGAGGACAATAGACGTCTGATACTTAGAGGAATGCTCGCTGATCAAAACTAATGAGCTTTGAAGAGCAAAATGGCTTAGTTCAAAGTTATATGTTCTTTAAATTACCTTATCCTTGAAATTACCAAACCACATACTGCTACAAAATAATGGGATTTTCAACAGACTTCTCAGAGAAGTAACATTTCCTCAGCATTTACAATGGACAACTGGTCTAAGTAGAAGTTGCACAGGTGACAGCATGTTGATAACATGGGAATGTCCTTTATTAACATTTGCATTGTTCATATGACTTTCATTACTTCATGAGTATGTCATTTAATTTCTTATCCCTTGACAGCTCTTTTTAATTTTAGAAAAGAACTTCTAACATTTAAAGATGTTTTCCATATTAACAAAAAGAAAATTTTATTGGAAAATTATTTTCAAGTGATTTACCTGACATTTTGCTCATTGTATTTCTACATAAATCATGATTAGCCAGAAATAGATTTCACTGTCTAGGTTAAAAACACATGCCTATAATTTGCAGTTTTCTTGTTCCTATTTGCACTTGCAAAGTTTAATGCTAGAAATATTTTTTCTGTTATGTTGATTACTTTTATATTCTTATCAAATGTGTAGTATCTCCAGAAGTTGTTTTCTGAAAAAATATGCATTCACTTGATTTTAGTTGTCAAAATATTTTCAATATGAATAACACAACTGAATATTTGTGAATTCCATTCAAATATGATAAAAAAGATAGATGATAATAAGAGATACATAGAAATTATATAGGTAGATGATAGATAGACTGAGATTGACATAGATAGAGGTTGCCTTTTTATAATCTGTCCTATTGATGCTTGTTAGTTACTTTTCTGTAATATTTTCTTTTTATGTTCTATTGCACTACTTCTGTAGATTTTGCAAATTTCAGAGCACTTTTGTAACATTTGTCATTAATATAAAAATTATCTTCTTTTCATGTTTTTAGTAGTGTCAACTTTGACAAAATGTGTTTATATAAATATATTTACATTATGTTCTTTTTGTGTATTTGGTACAGGGTCTCACTACACAGCTCAGATTCTCAGGGGTCCCCACTTTGTGGTCTCCCCAGGGCTGGGATTATAGGTGTGTCCCACCAGGCCTGGATTCGGTCACTGGCTCAGCCTACCTGAAGGCGTGGCAGACACGGCTTTTGGTACAAGGACTCAAGATTGAAAACTCTGGTCCATGTGCTTGCCTAAGCAGGCAGGTAGATGGCTGAGCTATCTTGCCGGCCCAGCAATAAATTGGTTTTAGTGGTCTTACTATTTACTGGAATTTTAGGGCTTTAAATATTTGTTATTGTCCATTTTGTTAAGGCTACTGCTATAGCATATAGTTTTTCCTGAAAGAACTTTCATTTATCAATTTTATATTGGAAATCTCTTTTCTTCATTAACTTAGTTTTTGCTGGGTCTATACCAGAAGATTTTTAAATTTTTTTTAGGTGAATAATCTTATTAGTAATGGGATAGTCATGCCTGCTATTCTGTTCAATTCTTTTATTCTTTCCTGACTTGCTGAATATATATTCGGTGACTTAGAAATCACAGAGTAGGGACTATGGAGGTAGCTCAGTATCCTAAAGTACCAGCTTAGGCAAGTTTAGGGAAGCGAAGGCTCCATGGTTCCATCCCTGGAACCACATGCTGTACCAGCCCCACCCCCACGGCTTGCTGAACTGGCCACAAAGGAAATAAAAAAGAACAAGAAACTTCACTGCAATAGTAAGTAATTCTGATGCTAAAGAAATCTTGTTTCCACAAGTATTTCAATGAAAGTACTCTTGATATACAGGTTCTTTAAGAAGATTCGTGACACAACATTCAAACCTGATTGCACTTTGTCAATAGTACCTTCGGCTTTCTTTAAATAAATCTTTGGGAGGGGAAGGGTAGAGCAGCTATCTATGCAGTAAATCCTTGGAGGGAGTGTGAACATGTACTCCTGGAGTTCACCCACCTTAATCATGACTCACTGCTTTATTCTTTAAGCATAATCTGGATTTTGAGTTGGAAGAATGTCAGTTTTATCTTTCATTCTCTATCTATATTATATTTCTAAAGAAAAACATAGTGTAAATGTATTCAGATAATTTAAACTTCTTTTTCTTTTTTTTTTTTCGGAAACGGGGATTGAACTCGGGATCCTTGTGTTTGCTAGAGAATCACTTATTCTACTGAGCCATCTCCCCGGAACCCAGACAATTTATTCTGAATGTATATAGCAAGCACATATTAACTCCATAACAAATAAAAAATAATGTTGAAGCAACTCTTCTTGGAATCTAGTAAGGACACAAAGTTCCTTTATGGAAAATTCATGCCCCTATTGTTGTAATTCAAATTGTCTTTTAAAATCTTAATCTTCTACCCTTACCTTTTTAATGAAAAAATTATCAATTTGTTGAATATAGGGTCTAATTGTGCAGTTCATACTTGTAGTGATCTTCCAGTCTGAGGTGCCAGAGTGCTTGGATTAAAAGCATGTACCACCATGACTGGGGTTCCCAGTCTGGCACTTCATGTGGTAGTGGAAATTGAACACAGGATCTTGCACTTGCCAGTCAGGAACTTAGAGTGCTGAGCTATCTTGCCAGCCCTAACTTCATCACATGCATATATGATTCTTATGAGTGAGGGGAATGAACATGAGTATTCAGGCTATAAATGGTGCTGGAATGAATTGAAAAATGATCAATGATGATATCTTTTCTTAAGGTCCTCTGTGTTCTCTATGCAGGCTTACACCTAGCAATTACCAGAACTACCTGGCCTTCATTTTTGCAATAGATGAGATCAACAGGAATCCTCGTCTTTTACCCAACATTTCTCTGGGCTATGAGTTCCATAATTTCATTAGTAGTCATTGGAGGATACTAGAGAATTCCTTCATTGTGCTCACAGGACAACACGAGATTCCTAATTACATTTGTAGGAGAGAACGCAAGTGTGCAGCAGTACTGACAGAAATGTCATGGGAAACCTCAGCTCAGATTGGACCACTGCTGGAGCTCTACAGATTTCCACAGGTGAGGGTTGGTGGGGCAGGAAATGAAGAAAACACTTCCATTATGCTTCACCTACATGGAACATTAAGGGTGAAAAATGAAGCTGATATTATTATCTTTCTAGGTGCATATTGTACAAGAATCTAAAGAGAGGGACTTAGTGATCTACTTTCAATTTTGTTACTGTATCTCTTCTGGTATCAAAGGGAAAGGAAAAGGGGGAAGAAATATGTTTCAGTGATTTCTGAATATATTCATTGGTTAAAAATAACTTGTCCTGTGGGAGACATTGATAATAATAGGAGGAACGTGTGTCTTTTTCCAGCACTTGGTGGTGTCATTGAGTACACTTAGAATTGCTATTGTGCTTTTCATCAACACTCCACTATGCTACCCAGTGTTCTTTTCCTTTAAGGTTACCTTTGGCTCATTTGATCCTACACTGATGGACAGTGGCCAGTATCCTTCTTTCCATCAAGTGGCCCCAAAGGACATATATTTGGCCCTTGCCATGGTGTCCTTGATGCTTCATTTCCAGTGGACCTGGGTAGGCCTGCTCACCACAGAGAGCCATAAGGGTCTTCAGTTTCTCTCAGATATAAGAGCTGAAATGGACAGGAACAAAGTCTGTGTGGCCTTTGTGAAAATGTTGTCAACTGTGGCTGTGTCCTATCACCCAGCTGGAAAGAAAGATAACATCCTGACTGCAGAGATGTCATCTGCCAATGTGGTGGTCATTTACTGTGACACTGATAGTGTACATGATGTAAACTACAGCATAGTGCAAAACTTACTGACATGGAAAGTCTGGGTGACAAACTCACAATGGCATGCTGACCTGGCTGGGAGAGATTTCATCAATGACCCGTTCCATGGGATTCTTGTTTTTTCTCACCATCATGAAGAGATTTCAGGTTTCAAAGATTTTGTCCAGGCAGCTACCCCTTTCAAATACCCAGAGGACACTTACCTTGTTATGTATTGGTCCAAGAAATTTGACTGCTCATTCTCTGAGTCTGACTGTGCCTTGAGGAACTGTACCCCTAATGCCTCTCTGGCTTGGTTGCCTCTGAATAGTTTTGAAACAGCCATGAGTGATAGGAGCTACAATATATACAATGCTGTGTATGCTGTGGCCCATGCTCTCCATGCCATGCTTTTAGAAGAAGTGCAAATGCCAACACTCAGAAATAGAAAAGTGATGATGTTTCCCCCCTGGAAGGTAATGTGTTCTGTTGGAATGTAGGCAGTGTCATCAAGCTGCCTCTCTCAAGCTCTTCTATGTGCTTCACCTAAGAATACTAGAACAATTTCTTCAACATTCTAAATATTGAGATTCACACATAATTAAGGAGGTGGTTCTTGATGTGAATGACCCACTGGCAAGGGGAAGTAAACATGAGGCCAGCTCCTTGCTTCTGCCTAGAGGAGGTCATTGCTTTACACATGTATATATGCTCCATATTGTTCATAATGGACAGCAGAAAAATTGTCATCACTTAGAAAGATAAAGACATTAAATCTCTCTGTTTATGAACCCATTTCTAAGGTAGATTCTATGTGAATAATCAGATAGACAATAGAAGTTGTGGGTTTTACATGCTTTTCTCTACATTTGATGTTTTGCCCCAACACAACTCTATGCTTTTTTTAAATAGTCTTTCATAGAATATTTTATTTTTCTGAAACTGAGTGAAATTTCTTGAACGTGGTGACTTTCTAGTCCTGAAATGTTTGTGTGCTCTAATGTAATAGATACCAGTGTTAAGGTTGCTTTAGGAAAATGAGATTAAAGATGCTTATGATCTTTACCTGACCCATAATATTTGTCTTTGCCTGGAGCTCTGTCCTCATAGGATAATGTATTTTTTTAGCTGCATCTCTTTCTGAAGAATATTCAGTTTTCCAATCCTGCGGGGGACTTAGTGAACTTGGATGATAGACAAGAAATGGATTCAGAGTATGACATTCTTAATTTTTGGAATTTTCCAGAAGGCCTTAGACTTAAGGTTAAAGTTGGCACATTTTCTTCCCGAGCTCCACATGGCCATAAAATGACTCTATGTGAAGATATGATAGAGTGGGCCACAGGAGATACACAGGTACGTTGTATCTAATCATGGCACACTTACGAACCACAAGTGAACTAACTACTGGCACAGACTTTGTGCCACCAAATTTTTAACATGTAATGGTCATATGTGAAAATTCAGTACCAAAAGTAAGTTTTCAATTAAAAAAGTTACAACCTTTCTGATGAGAGGAACTATAATGCATTTAATTAATTATTAATTTCTAAGTATATTTAATAGTATGAACCAAGTTTACCATGCAAGTAAATAATTTTGCTTATGTACGTGTACAATTTAAGTTCATCCCTCTAACTCAGGTGAAGTAAGTAAATGTCGAAGAAGTTACCAAATATATTTTTTTCCTTAGACTCCTCACTCATTCTGCAGTGAGAGTTGCATTCCTGGCTTTAGGAAAAGTCCTCAGGAGGGAAAGGCTGCCTGCTGTTTTGATTGTACCCCATGTGTAGACAAAGAGATCACCAATGACACAGGTAGGAATGTGTCCTGGGGAGACAGTCTCACTCTGTGTTATCTTCACTCCATCCACAGGAAATGGTAAAAAAGTTGAAGAGGACACCAAAGGTAAAACACTTCCTTCACTGTCAAATTATTTGTTATAGACGGTTACTGCCTGTTGGAAAACACATTTTCCTCTTTGAAATTCACTGAAACTCATTTTCCTTTTATGCCATTCTTATTCATCCTTCTTTTTATTTTTTGTTTTGCACTGCTAGAAATGGAACCAAAATTTGGTTTATCAGTGGCCTTTGTGCCCAGGTATTCCTATTTGTCATTATAAGACAGAATGTCATCAGTTTGCCTCAGACTGCCTCAAACATTCAATAGACCTGTGTCAGCCCACTAAGTATCTGAAATAACACATAAGCATCATCATACCTATGTACATTGGTTTATTTTCTAGTTCCATTAAAATCATTATTTCCTCCACACAAGTCCTGTCCCTCTAATCACAGCTTCTGTGCTCCATCTCCATTGTGAAATTTAATGCAGAGCAGTATTAAAGTCCATCCTTTACAACCTTTGCAACCACAGCAAGATTACAGTCAAGACAAGGGCAGGCCCACTTCAGATTCCAGTGTCTGACACAATTATTAAAACAGAGCCCATGCTCAGAGAGTGTGAGTTTGATTAGATGAAGGGGGTTGTATTTCATGTAAAATATGCTTATAACACAGCACAGTCCAACTTTTAGGATTAATCCCCGTTAATCTGGAATGCACAGGCCAGTAGGGGAGACAGCTTGACGCATGAATTAGAGACTATACCACAGAAATTCAAGAATGAAATGAACACAGAATACACGATTTAACAAGTGACAATACCTACATGGCAGGAGGAAATGTTGGGAATTTTTACAGAGGCGATAGCTTTAGTAATAGATGAAATATCTGGTGAAGCATTAATAGATTTGACTTAGATCACATAAGTAAGTTAAGTAATAAAGGTTGATCTTATTAGTTTGTAAAAACACAATGTTTTATGCATATGCCAGATGTAGAAGTAAAACTATGAGAAATAGTGTTATTTTGGAATTAATCTCTATATACGTGCTGTTAATTTGTGCCTAGAAAATCATGGGGAAGTGAGGTGTGGTAGAGCATGCCTGCAGTCCAGGGATCTGGGAGGTGAGATAAAAAGATTTTAAGTCAGAACACAGCAATGGAAACCTAATGATTTAAGGAGATCCTTTCTCAAACTAAGAAAATGTAAAGTGGTGGGAAATATATCTCAGTGTAAAGTTTGAGGTCAGTCGCACATAAAGTAAAACACACACAATGAAAGAAAAAACAAGAAAAACTACCAAAAAATGCCAATTCATTCCAAGCAACTCCAATGAGTTTCTCGGCATAAGCCTATAAAAATGGTAACAATAAGTGTAGTCAAGCAACAATTTTAATTTTCCCCAGATATGGAACAGTGTGTGAAATGTCCTGAAGATCAGTATGCCAACAGTCAGAGAAACCACTGCCTCAAAAAGTCTGTGACCTTTCTGGCTTATGAAGACCCCTTGGGGAAGGCTCTGACTGGCACTGCCCTGAGTCTCACTGTCCTCACAACTGCTGTCATTGGGCTCTTTGTGAACCACCGAGACACTCCTATTGTCAAGGCCAACAACAGGGCTCTCAGTTACACACTGCTCATCTCCCTCACATGCTGTTTCCTCTGCTCCTTGCTCTTCATTGGCCCTCCTAATGCAGCCACCTGCATCCTGCAGCAGACCACATTTGGAGTTGTGTTCACTGTGGCTGTTTCTACTGTCTTGGCAAAAACTATTACTGTGGTGCTGGCCTTTAAGGTCACTGGTCCAGGCAGAAGAATGAGGCAGTTGCTGGTGTCAGGTGCACCAAACTACATTATCCCCATTTGCTCCATGATCCAGCTCACTCTCTGTGGTATCTGGATGGGGACAAATCCACCCTTCATTGACAGAGATACATACTCTGAGTATAGCCACATCATCATCATGTGCAACAAGGGCTCCCTCACTGCCTTCTACTGTGTACTGGGATACCTTGGCTCCCTGGCCTTGGTGAGCTTCACTGTGGCTTTTCTGGCCAGGAACCTGCCGGACACCTTCAATGAAGCCAAGTTCCTGACCTTCAGCATGCTGGTGTTCTGCAGCGTGTGGGTCACCTTCCTGCCTGTGTACCACAGCAGCAAGGGGAAGGCCATAGTGGCCATGGAGGTCTTCTCCATCTTGGCTTCCAGTGCAGGGCTGCTGGGCTGCATCTTTGTCCCCAAGTGCTACATTATTTTAGCAAAACCAGAAAAAAATTGTCTGACTGGGATCAGAGACAAAACACATTCTGGGAGAAACAAGTCTTATCATTGAACTTGTTTCCTAAAAATATGCACAGAAGTCCTGAATTCAAAGTTGAACCATATGTGAAATTAGGTACTATAGTCTACTACACCATTGACATGTTTAATAACTGATGCAACTTCTTTTCCTCATAGAAGATATTCCCTAGAAAGTGTCATCTTCATTTCTTGAAGTTGAATTTTTTCTAGATATTTTGTTTTCTGTTTAAGACAGAATTTATTCTATTTCTGCTATAACAAAATTATCACATTTTATCTTCTCTTTCTTTTTTATTTCTCAACTTTTTTGTTAATGGATAATAAATTCCTTCCTGTACCCCCCACTGTTTCTGAATCATGCAGTGTTTCTTTCTGGTTTTTTTTTTTTTTTTTTTTTTTGGAGTATCCTGTCTTCAATGCGTTGACTATAGTATATTTTCAAACTGGCATTTATGTTTCTCTTCTCACACGTCCCTTTTGCAATTATTAAGGCTTTCCTGTGGCATCACTTTTGTGATTCTAGAATTGGCTGGTCATATGCAAGTGTAAACACCGTTGACTATATGATGCCAATGTATTGATTTAATAGGTTACATTGTGGAAAAACCTGGAAGTATGCAGTGGAACATTGGCTTTTCCAAGATTTATATTTCATTTTGTTCTTTCAATCCTCTTTTACTGATAGCTATATATGTGTGCAATGTATATTTTTGTTATACTATGTAAGCTTTATTCAATAATATTTCTTGATATTTTTATATCCAGATATTTTAAAGGGTTTTTAAATAATGTGAGAAGAAATGGTTTACCTGCCATATGTTCTATAACATATATGTACCTATGGATTCATATTAATTTTTACACATGGAGTTTTTTGGTTTTGGTCTTTTAAAAATGTTTTTGATCTGAGTACTCTACCAATGTGTCGCTGGAGGGTTTTGCCAGAGAAGTACATATACAATGAGATGTACTAATGTATAACAAATTACTTCAGACAGTCAGCCACAGAGTCAGAGGAGTAAGCATGCAGACAATGTCTACACAATGGAAACTAGCGAACTCCATTCAGGGTGTAGAGCTCACAGCAGCGTGCCATGCAACTCCATCTCAAGAGACCAATGTGTCCACGACAGAAGGCCCATAGGTCTACAAGGGAAGGCTGGAGGAAGTAAGGCAGATGTCCAAAAGTCTACCCTAGCAGCCAGGAAATGACACCGAAGCTGAAGGTGAAGAGTGGAGCTCCTCAAAAGAAAAGGAAATGTCTGTTTCCCTTATGTCGCTCTTATATACATTAAGTGTTGAGCCACCCTAGTGTGTGGAATGCTGAGCGAATTTAGATAAGCTCCTAAAAGTTTAAAGTTGACACAATTGATCAAATGTAGAATACATGTCTGTCTCAAATGAATGTTAAATAACTAGGTGGATGTAGCTCACGATGTGCCCACACCCAGTTGCTGTCATCTGAGTCATTATGTATCCTTTGCCCCTTTGTATATATATGCAAATACACTATATATATAATAT